CCCTCTCTTTAATTCTCCTTCTTGCCTCCGCTAGCTCCCTCTCACGAGCTAAAAGTCGAGCAGTCCGGTTGATGTCCTCGTCCAGTGGTCTAAAGGTGTCGGATTACTCCAGGTCATGCACCTCACTACACATTCTTAAAGAACACAACACCGTCTAGCACAAGCAACACTTCACACTTAGCAAAACTGAAAATAAAGCTAGATTAACACCAAACAATCTTTTCAAGATAACGGACCGAAGGTCCCCGGCAACGGCCGGCGCCAAAAACTTGACTCCCTCTGACTATCACAATAAAATCCCACCTAAGGCCCAAGTATAAACCTTAGATGGGTGCAATATAAGGCAAGTATGTTTAAATATCAACCCAGACCGGCCCATGTACCACTACTCTGATTGTTAGAAACACTATCTAGCGGATTGTTGTTTGTTGAAATCTCTACAATCTACGATTTAAAAGCAAGACTTTGAAAAGTAAAAAGGTGGAAAAATCTTAGTGAGAAGCTTCACTCGGGTGTTGCTTCCCCCTAATTAACTACCATGAACCGTGGGATCGAATGAACTGGTGTGTGACAAGGCAACTATGAGCCGTACGAGGTGCAACAATGGTTAGAAGCCATCCTTTCAATTGCTAGACCGAGGTAAGCATTAGAGGCTACAATTGTAGCCCTCTTGGAACAAGCAATTGAGGGTTGACTTACCTTCTCCCTCAAACCAAGGCTTGGACGACATAATCACAATTAACCTAGGTGTCTAATTCAAGTAGAGGTTTGCCCTTCATTAACCTAGTTAGGAGGCATGTAATTCCAGTGAAAACCAAGCTCAATTAGAGCCTCTTAAGATAAGGGGGCTTCTCCCTCTTGGTTTGTGACTTTCTCTCTCTAAGGTTTCAAGAAGAAGAAGGTTTTTCTCACTTTTGCCCCCCCCCCCTCCTCTTCATCCTTTCATCTCTCCATTTAAACAGAGATCGTACCCAGTTCACAGTCCCAGTTCACGGACGTGAACATCAGGACGCGTCCGTGAACTCAGTGAACTGGATCAAAACGCACCGCTTAACTTTTGGGGTTTACGGTTTGTGGTTCCAATTCACGGTCTTAGCGACCGTGAACTGCCTTGGATTCAGTAACCTCAGAAACCCCTCTGGACGCTTCGCGGTTCACGATTTGTGGTTCCATTTCATGGTCCTGGCCACCATGAACTCTGGCTGAATCCTCCTCTTTGCCCGGTCTTTGCTCCTTTTCTTCCAACTTTCGACTCCGGGGTTGGTTTCACCTGTTAGACTCTGAAACACATTGAAACACAAGAAACCTAGCGTAAAACCACCCCTTTTGGAGGTCAATTTCCACAAACATAAAAAAAGAAACAAGGATAAAAAGTGTACAATGAGGCCCGAATCAGAGCTTCCACGGGAAGACATCCTCAAATTCCTACAAAAGAGATTGAAATTCACTAGGCAAGCTAGTGTTTAGCTCCATGTTTAAGAACGACTCTTTGTATAGAAGCAAGATCACGTCATGTTTGTGGTTCAATGCCTTGTTCACCTCACTAGCTCTCACAAGAAAACTCTTAACCTCACATGGAGCTTCCTTCGTCGTTCTTTTCTTTTTGACGATTGACTTTTATTCTTCTCTGGTGGCTAACTCACAAGTGTAGGGTCACTCGAACTCTCTCTCTTATCTTCTCTCAACTCTAGTATTTGCTCCCTCATTTGCTCATAGAGTTGTCGCATGTGCACTTGGTCTTCATAGACCTCTTTGGGAGTCATTGACACCAACGTATGTGTTCCCCAATTGCAAGACACGGTGTACTTGTTGGTCTTTCCCTCATGTTGGGTAGCTCGATCGAATTGTCATGGACGTCCCAATAGGATGTGGGCAGTTTGCATTGGTACCACGTCACAGAGAACCTCATCCTTGTATCTCCCAATCCCAAAGCTCAGTAGCACCTGTCGTGTCAACTTAATGGATTCATCCTCGTTCATCCAATGCAATGTGTAGGGACGCGAGTGCTTGATGCTCTTCGATCCTTGCTTTGCCACCATGTGAGAACTAACAACGTTGGTGAAGCTCCCTCCATCTATGACCATTGAGCACAACTTCATATTGACCAAGCAGCGAGTGTGGAACAGGTTTTCCCGCTACTCAATCTCTTCTCTTTGTTGCACGTTCAGAAGTCGTCGAGCTACACACGTGTAGTTGCCTTGCACTGACCGCTCCTCATCTTATTCTTCCTCCTCTTCAATCTTGACCTCTCCATCTTCAGGCTGGGACTCATACTCACCATTCTTCATCAAGATCCTCGTGTGTTTATTTGGACATTGGTTCGCCACGTGACCTCTTCCTTGGCACCTGTAACACACAATAGAGCTCAATCATGTGTTAGTATTTGCCTTCTCTCTAGCATTGGTGGCAATCGGCTTGGGAATTGGTTTAGGGTCCTCCTTCTTCAAAAATGGAGCTCGTGTTTCACTCGAGAAGGCACTCGTGGATGGTGCAAACCTCCTCGCAAAGCCTCAATCTCCACATATTGGCGAATCCCCACAACCTGCCTAATCTCCCAGTTGAGACAATTGGGAAATCGAGCCATTGTTGCTTCCCTATCCTCATTGATATTAGCTAGAATCATCAATGTCTTCATAGACAAGTAAAGAGCTTGGTGAAGATCTCGTTGATGGTGAACGAGTAAGAAACTCCTCCTCGTGGCTGCATTCATTTGATGTCACGTTGTGATGGATTCTTCTTCATGCAGTCTCCATGCAGCACACAGCTAGTCCCACGAAACAGCAGCAATGGTTACCTTCTTCTGTTGGAGTAGTCATGACACTCGAACAAGTACTCCATCTTTCTCTCCCAGTCTAGGTAAGCTTCAGGATCACTCCTCCCTTGGAATGATGGCACCTTTAACTTCATCCCCCTCATGACACATCCAATGTTAGGGATACTCTTCCTCCTCGTAGTACTCCTCATAGTCACGAGGGTCAGGAGCTCTACGAGCTTGAATTGGTGGTCTCCCTACTCCTCCTCGACTTCTACCTCCTCTGCCTCGTAAAGGTCAGAGATTATACGGACCTAGAGGTCAGCCACGCCTTCCACCTGGTGGTGGTGGTGGTGGGAGTTCATCTTCCTCCTCCTCCTCCTCCTCCTCCTCCTCCTCCTCCTCCTCCACATCCTCGAGGTGGAGGTGTTGAACTTGCATCATTCGTGTGAGATAACCAACTAGGGCTTCCATTGCGGCTCGCGGAATGCCCTCCACGTTCTCGATCGCCACCGGCTCATTTTGCATATCACGAGGGTAAACGTTCTTTCCTACCATGATGCTCAAACTCAAACAAAATGTTATCCGTCAATGCTTAAAATCTTAGATTAATGGTACGAAAAAGGACCTCACAAATCGCTCCCTCACGTTTTTCACTCATTTTTAGGTCACTCCTTTTCTTACCACTCGTGTTTCACTCAACTCAAATGGCGTTTACCCGAAAATGATCTTACGATGCCTCATTCCACTCGCTCTCTGAACCGTAGACAAGAACTTCTCAACAAAGAAATGAATCTCACTAGTAGTCCTAGCGAATAAGACTTCCACAATGCTAACGAGACCGATCAAGCTCCACAATACCTTCCTGCGTGATCTGGCCTAGTTATCGCCTTTTTTCTTTGTTTTCTCTTTTGTTTATATATTATTTTTTGTATTTTCCAGAACGCCTATTTCCAAAAGATGCACATTACAATCAAGAAGAACAGAATTAAAAACAAAAACTGAAAAGTAACCTTCTTGACGCGAGCCGCTTCTTTCGCTTCGGCATGGGATCTACATCCTTAGCAACCCGCCGTATTCCCCTTGTGCGGAAATCATATTTCCCTTCTCTCTTTTCAGTCGAGCTCGCATGGGATCTACATCCTCACCTCTGACATAACGGGTCAATGTACTAATATAATAAAAGGAATTCTACATAGCCAAAACGGCGGGTTGCTAAGGAGGTACTCCTTGATCTTGTCAAAGGCCGACTGGTCGAATAGAGACGAATGTCGGCCATAGTGATATGGGAGTCCAGTGTGGAAGGACTCTCGCTCAATGCCAAACGTCTTAGTCGTGCCATTCTTTCTTTTAATTTTCTCGGGATTTCCATGTATTCTAAGTGCATCTCGAGTGGTCAACTCATTTTGGCATCTCTTTCTTTAGCCTTACGCAAGGAAAAAAGACTTTATACCCTCAGAATGCATTTATTCAAAAGTATGGAAAAGTATATCAGAGCGTTTTAGGAGGAGTATTAGGAGACAATTGGGAGGGATGTTGCGAGTGAGCCCTTACAGAGAAAGAAAGAAAGCAAGTTTGTTGACACCCCCAGGTATATGCTTCAACAGGAATTACACATATACAATATTTTGGAATCTCCCTAATATGAGAGAGCTCGAAAAGGACGGCTAAGGATAGGATTTTTTTAACGAATATGTCACAGTGAATTTCTCTATTTTTTTTTAAAAAAAAAAGAGGAAGTCTTTCTTTGCATCTACCTTAGATAAGCACCAACCAACAAGCAACGGAACAAGCAAGGGCCGAAGCGAAAGAAGCGGCTCGCGTCAAGAAGGTTACTTTTCAGTTTTTGTTTTTAATTCCGTTCTTCTTGATTGTAATGTGCATCTTTTGGAAATCTCTTTATCTCAGATAACAGTATTAAGTATATCCAACTTTGCCAATATGATTTCCGCACAAGGGGAATACGTGTTACTGTGTTTGAACCGGAGCTCTGATACCATCTGATATAACCCGAGGCTCTAACTCCTAAACTTAAACAATCAGAAACGTAGCAAAGATCGATTAGAAGCACAACGAACACAAACAAATAAGAACCCAAACAAACTCTACATGTCAGGAAGAGACAGCTAGCAGAAAAGTGTATTCCTTCTTGCTGAATCAATTCCACGATCAAGAAAGAAGAAGAAGAAGTTGGTGTTTGAACATTCAATTCTAGAAGTTTGATTTCTGAATAAAAGTGTCAATTACACTCCAAAAGACTTAGTTCAACTCCTTATATAGATTACAAACGTTTTGGGCCAAAAATAACAAAGAAACTCGAGTCTTGGATCATAAGTCACTTAATCTGCAAAGGAAACAAAAACAACCTACAACAACAGCTCCAAATCCTCGCCCTGACACTCAATTTCCACAATCGTGGATTTCATCCTCTAGACCGGGGGTTTTGGTCTTTCAGCCCCAGACATTTTCCACAGTCATGGATTTCCCCTCCAGGTCGTGGATTTGGCCTAACACAACCCCAACTTGAATCGTCATCGCTTATTATCCAACGAATTGCTCGACCTCCATATTTGTGAAGCTTTGGGCCAAATAAGCTTGAAGTCAATCCTTAAATGCCTTGACCTGACTTCTAGTGACTAGACCTCGAACTTGCACCTCTTTCTCACATTCTTCTCACACAAAGTTGGACTTATGATTGCCTTGGTGTTGATCCCCATGCCCTCATCACCTAACTTGCTAGACAATTAAAGAAGATATTACCCACTCCTGTGCTTAAATGTAGAGAATTACTTGGAATACTCCACTCTATAACTCTTAGTCAATCTTGGAAAGTTTATTAATTTCATTTACAACACAGATATAATGGTAATATCACCTCTAATTGAATCAGCTCTAAAAAAAATTTGACAGTAACTTGTGTTCTTGGCATCAATGGCCTTATATTATATAATAATTGAGCAGTTACATCCCAACACCAATGAGGTCGACGACTGCGGAAAAGAGGGCTTTTGCGGGTTTGCTGATAGCATACTCTTTAACATAACTATACCACTAAATATTAATTCCTTTCATTGAAGATGCACAGAAAATTAACGCATCACCCACCTCTAGATCCTTGGCACCTCTAAACCCTTGGCATCTAATTTGCAGGGACTTCTGGCACTCCAGGTGAAAAGGCAGCTCGGAAATTGCAATGCATCCAACAGAAGTAAACAAAACGACAACAATCTATTGCTTAACCAACAATAATTCAATGATAGCACCTGCCAGCTTATAGATACCAAATATACAGCAACTATTATTGGGAAAGTAGAACGCACCACCAGCCGATTTAAACCTAAACTGTAATCTCCCTTGGTTCATACAATTCACAATCAACAATGGATCTTTACAGTTCCATCCAATTCAACCCTCTAGTTGCATGCGAAAATTCTCCAAGGAAAATACTATTCAAACAAAACACTTCACTGGCAAATAACAAACACCCAAAATAACATTATTCAGCAAGTCATTTATAGAATCAAGGGAAAGATACGAAAATAAACAACCCTTACAGGCGGCAAAAAAGAGAGAGACATCAGACAAACTACGCCCAAAGGGAAGATTCGACCACTTAAATAAAACAGTAAAAATATAACCCAACGACCAAGCACATTCAATATACTTCACCTTGCAAATAAAGCTATAGGGCATCTCCGAGCAGCATGGCAACTATCATCAATCAGTATCAAAACCAGGACAACCACGGATAACTGGGCATATCAACATGGGGCAGCGGCAGCACAGCAACCCGCTACATGCTATTCACGAACCACGGGAACAAAGAAAAAGAGGCATCTTCACAGCTACAACCAGCGCTACCAACTACAGCAAACATTAAATAAAACTTCATCCGTTATGGAATGGGGCATCAAAATGAATGACCTAAACAAATAAGAAGCCGGAACATTTTACCGCCATGCTGTTTTACAGCATCCAAAAAACAGAGCAAGGACTCGTGTCATACAGAGACAGTATCAGCAACAGAGTGACTGTTAACAACTCCACTTGATCTGCAGCATCATCTACAGCTAAAACGCATTCACTTTGCGTTTACGCCAACACAGCAACACCATCATTCAAGAACCACCAAATGCCTCCCCCCCAAAAAAAAAGGAAAAAGAAAAGAGAAATGATAACACAAAGCAGGTCAGAGCAACACAATTGAAGGAAACTTTTTGTAGGAAAAATGCCAAAGAGTTCCCTTTCATCTTACCACGTACGACAATTAAGATCATCCACCAACAGTTAACATATGTTCATCGTCAGCAATAATTAGTCACAATAGCAACACCATACCCATCGGCCTCAGTTGTCAGATCATAATCACGATCATCCACATTTTAACATACAGCATCATCAACAGCAACAAAGTGACAAAATCAACGTCTTGCCATCTGCCGCACGTCAAATCTTTTCCAGCCACCAGCTATAAAACCCATAGGACTTGGGGTTAATCAGCGATATCACACAAAAGACATCACATCCATGTAAATAGAAAAGCAATCGAAAATAAATAAATCCCAAACAAGCACAACATAACCAAAAACAAAGAACAGCACAGAATCTGTCTACAATCAAAAGTCTGCAAACCTAATAAATCCAAGCATGCCAAATAGACATGAGCACCAGCAGGATACTTTAATCAGAAACTACAAGAAGAACACAAGTCCTACCAATCTAGATCTTAGTATAAGACCAGAGCAAGACCATTCAAAATTCTGAACTCCCAGGAAGAAACAGCAGTAACCCATTCTCCCATTCCACACAACATGATCATTCCTGCAAATGACGAGTGAAAAATGATCAGTGACAACAGCTGTGCAGTTTGGAAACATGACAAATTTGAATCATTCACTAACCTCAGGATCCGAATTTCGTGGAGAGGGACTACGAGATACAACGGGGCGATCTTGCGGTGATGCACTTGGAGAACGGGCAGCTCGGATGCGTCTGTCTGGGCTTTCATCCTTTGGAGAGGCCTTGAGTGGGGAAACACTCCTGCGAGGACTGGGGCTAAGCCGACGCGGTGATCGACTGTTGATAAAGTAGACGGAAAGGAAGGAATTCAGGCAAGAAGTACAAACACATGAATGTACAAATCAAAATAATAAGCTAAATCACTTATATTCAAACCTGATTGACCGGCTGGCACTTCGACGATCATCATCATAGCGGCTTCTTCCCCTTCCTCTAGCATAATCAGGACTGACACTGCGACTCCTGCTGCTTCGTTTATGGTAGCCTCTGTCCTTGCTGCTGTGATATCTCTCACGTTCATATCTGTCCAGACTCCTGCTCCTACTTCTTTTCCGGTAGTCCTTTTCCCTGTACGAGTCATCTCGGTGCCTACTGGATACCAACAGCCACCAATATAAATGCATTAATAAGGAAATAAAACATCTGGCTTGGTGAAATGTAATCATCAAAATTAACAGCAAACTCATACTTTCGACGAGGACTGCGGCTCCTTGAACTGTATCTTGATCTTGAAGTTGGTTCTATTATCCTTCCTTTCTGACTACTCAACAGGGTAAGAAAGTAACATTGGTAGCATGAAGAACAAGCCATATAAGTATATTTCGCCAGATATTTAAGTGAGCAAATTATCACACGGGCATTATGGTACTGAATCCATAAGCAAACATAATTTGTTACAAGCAGCAACAATTCTGAAACTTACATCTTCTCCGCATTTGGCCCATATTTGGCAAACTGGACAGTTATCTCACGGCCATCAACAACTCTTCCTGAAAGATATAAAGAAAATAGCACAAAACATAGTGTTAATCAGAAAGGAACACTGAACAACTAAATCATGAGCTATGCCATGAGAAAATACCATACCATCCAGCCTTTCTACTGCCTTCTGAGCCTCATCAGCATATTTGTACCGTACAAATGCAAACCCACGAGAGTCACCAGTCCTAAATCGTCAACAAGAAAGCATGAACCAATCATGAAGTGAAGACAAAAATAGATAAATCCATTTGGAAACAAACAAACCATGACTCGCCTATAATAAAAGCAAGGAGCAACAAGCAGAAGAAAGATAGCAACGCACTGTGAGTAAGCTATGGCGCTCAAAGAATGACAAGTAATTGACACAAAAAGACTTGGGAAAAGTTTAATTCTGTGACATACAAGGCAATGCACATACATCCTACCCTCAGTGTCGTGTCCAGTCAGACATTGAGGTAACACATAAACATTGTTAAGCTAATCTTTTGAACTTCAAGGAGCCCATCTACCACTCCATAAAACAAAATTCAAAGACGCAAGGAATTCAAGTAAGTGGCACGTAAACGAGACAATACCTTCGATCTCTGGGAATAAATATATCGACGACCTTGCCATACTTGTCGAAGAAAGGGAACAGATCATCAGCAGTTGTACCTAAGAAGATGGCAGACGCCATAAGAGAACAAAAGGAGAAAAGGATACTCAGAAAACGAAAATGGCAGAAGGATAAGCCAAAATAAAACATCGAGGACGAGGAAGAAAAGGAGAGATATGCTCACGGAAAGTGATATTAAGGACGAGAAGCGAGTAGGTGTCGGTAATGTCAGGCGGCCCCGACCTTCCGAAGTGAGACATGGCGGACGATTGGGAGATTAGGGTTAGGGTTTCTGTTCCAACAGCCGAGAAACAAGATGAGCTGCGACTTTAGGATCTCTCGAAGTCGAACCACCTTTTTGATTACCCCTTCCGGATGCCAGATTTTTTCAAGTTTATATATTCCCGGTGGGCTATCGGAATTCACCTTCTGATCCGCCTTCAGCAAATGGGCCTGCTCAGCCCATTCTTTCGTTGGCCTTCGGGCTGATTTCGTTATGTTTGCTTTTTCATATAGAATTTCCTTTTTTTTAGTGGTTTTGACCATCTATAATAGTTTGCTTTCATTTCTTTTGCACACTATTTGGTAACAATTGAATCGAGAATTTATTTTATTTTAATATGAATTATTGTGTAGAATTCATTCTCAAATAAAATCTTGTGTTTGGTATGTCATATTCAAATCTTTAGGAATAAAATAAATTATCGTGTAGAATTCATTATCAAATGAATTCTTGTGTTTGGCATATTATATTTATAACTAATTTAGTTAATAAAAGAGGATAATTGTATTATTCTATTAAAAATAGTAAATAGTTGGGGAATTCATTTGAAAATTTTATCTCAATTCTTCGGAATTGCTATAACTAGTTCCAATTCTGTTGAATTCAAAATTTAGAATTGAAAATGAATTCTTTAAAATGAATTCATTTTAAAGAAAAAAATTCATTTCAAAATGAATTACTCAAAACTTATGAAATTCATTTATACGAAACGGTATGTTAGAGACCAAATTCATGGACCCCACGAACTTGTAAATCTTACATGTTGATGTGAGATTTGTAACATGTCATAAATCCTTGATAAGATTTTACCCATATACCCTCATAAACTTATAAATTCAAAGTTTGCCCTTACATGTACCTATTGTACATTATAAATAATCAATTAATTAACAAAGAAATAATATAAATATTCAATTAATGTGCAAACATGAGTTAGATTTTTTATACCCTTTTTGTGTTCTAGCTTCCTTTGACATTTTCATGAAACGTGTAAATCTTTGTTCCCCGGTTCAAATATATGTTGTTATATGTTACTTTTGAAAAGGATGACAAATAATTGGTAACTAATATATGTTACGTTAAATGTTAAACATAATTTTACCGTTTATTATTATTGTCCTTGTGGCAACATTATGTTTATTAGTACGTATTGTCCTTGTTTTGTGTACATATCATAATGACAAACAAATATAAAAGGACAATATGGTCATTTTGGGCTTTAAATTCTAAATCAAGAACACAGAAGAGACGGATGGGTTGCAAGTTACAACTCCATCAAGACCTATAAATAGAAGCTTCTTTCAATCTTTATTTCGCAAAGGGAGACAAGATTGAAATTTTCACAAGGCTTAGTTTCTCAAATCCAAAAGGTCATGATTTCTTATGAAGAACCTTTAGTGGTGGAAAACAAGATTATGACTCGGTTCTTCTTAGGCCTGTAAGTTTGCTACGTCTGGTTGGAAGGCTCGTTACTGGGGAAAAAACATCAAATCTCTAAAGTATCACTAAGCAAACATGAAAATTAAAACAAAGTTTTCATATCATAGACCTTGGAGACAAGATGTTTGTTTTCAAGATCATGGAAAGGAGCGATAGGGACAAGGTCAACATTAGCGGCCCCCAACACTATGATAATAATTTGTTAATCTTCAAGATGACTGATTTGTTGAACGAGCCAAAAACGAGGAGTTCAACAACATGGATATCTCGATAAGAATCTACCTCCTCCCAAATGCTCTAAGGACTATAGAGATGGCTAAAAAAAATTGGTGAAAGATTTGGGAAAATTGTATGGGTGGATAACCGAAGTGATAGTATGTGGGATGACTTTCTAAGGCTAAGATTGAGAAGGATATCAGGACACCGCTGAAACCTAAACTAAAACTAAATTTTCAAGGAGTAGTAGAGAAGTCAGAAGTTTGAGGTAAAATATGAGAAGTTACCCATGCTCTGTTTCAATTGTGGACAGGTGGGGAACTACTGTAGCGGAGAGTGGTCATTATGGTCAAAATTTGAGTGGGCCCCTTCAAAACAAACCATGGAGGTCAAAGCTATAAAAAAAGAGCAATGAGAGATATGCACTGCATTAAGGGCAAAGTTAAACAAAAAGTTATTGACGGAAAAGATGAAAAGGTAAGCATAGAATGAATGCAATGAAGAACCGTTGAGCACAAAAAATTTGGAAGTGCTGAAAGAGATGGAACGGTTAGAAAGCACAAGTTGTTTCCCCTTAGTAAAACATATGAAGGAGCCTCGGAAAGAACTGACAAAGAATATATGGATTTCAAACAGGCACTAGAGGAATGTGAGAGTGGACTTAAGAGAAATTAAAAGAAAATTAGAGAAGGAAAAGGGAGAGAGAAGTGGAAAAGCTTATATGGAACATCTGAAGAACTGAGAAATGCTTGGAGATGGAAAAAAATTACATTCAGATGATACAAGTTTTGTTATAAGAAGGACCAACGGAAGGAGCAAAAGACTAAGAGCATAATTTGGAAATGCCAGCTAGGAACAAATACAAAGCTACAATTAACTCAATATAAGAGAAATATAGAGTTAGAAAGAAAAAAATGGAAGACCAAGAAAATGGTGACTTATTGGAAACATGTCATAATCCACAAGAAAAGAAGTTGAAGATGGGGGAACATGAGAAGCGAGAGATACTAAACCAAATTAACATGAAGAATGGCAAAGTGGCGGACCTTGCAAAAGAGCAAGGTCGCCCAATTCAATGAGTCTACGAAATTATGAATATAATGAGTTGGGGAAAACATGACAGTTAATAGAGTGGTTGAGCTACTCAGACTAAAAGGACCCTGACATTGTTTTCTTAATGAAAACAAAGCTGAAAGAAGATAAATGGAATAAGTAATAAATTTTATGGGATGGGTGGCAAGACAATGAGTTGGCTCCCAGAATATTGGTGAATTCTGCAGAATCCATACTAACCTGCTACTCAGAGGGAGATTTTAGCCGATCATGGCTGCAACTCGCCTCCCGTCCCTCCTTTGTTTCATCGAACTAAATAAGAAGGGTGGGGGTTAAAAGCGATATATGGTGATATTATCGCATATGTTATGGTTTTTGGGTGATATTCACCCGTATTTGATTTTTGATTGCTCGGTTAGAGCTTTATCCTATTTGCTTTATCTTACTGTCTGGCTATCGTACTCTATTTAGCTTGGTCGAATTTTTCTTATATCACATTCCTTGTTAATTAAGGTTTTAGATATATCCCCTTTTTAAATTTCTTGCTTAACTTTTCTTTGCTATATCATTAGTAGTTTCTCCTTTCTTCGATGTCTGCCATTTGAGCTTTTTAGTAGGCCTTGTCGGAGGTGCCATCACCTTCACCGGTTTGATGTTCACGTTGCTTGCTTTTTCCTTTTGTTTTTCATTTAATGGCACACGTCAATTGATATTTTTTCTTTTACAATTTACGACAGCCACGGTAGGTTGAGTCTTGGAGAATATTTTGCTTCTTTTTTCCTGTTGCACTTATCTTGCGTAATATTTATTTTTGGTTGAAAGACCGTGATATTTAGCTATTGTTGATAAGTATTGGTTTATTTTTAGTAACTTTATTTCTTTCATTGTTTGTCCTAGTATGTCTTGTGTAGGCCTTGTAGGTATTTTTTGCTTTTTCTATCAATATGTTAAGTATTTTTAGTATTTTCATTTCTTTCAGGTGGGAGTTTCTTTTTTTGTTTGTTTGTTTGGTTCTTGTCCCACTTGTGCTCCACATAGCCTTTTCTTTTCCTTTTCTTTAATATACGTTGTAAACAACTGAGATGGGAGGTCACATGGGTCTGGTTGGTTTTTGCCTGTTTGTTTTTATTTTGCAGGGTTAGAGGTAACATATTCAGCGGAGGCATGTTATTGGGCCTATTTTTGCAGGGTTAGCGGTAGCATATCCAAGGCAACTTCCATTGAGTCTGTTTGAACCTCTTTAATAGCCTTTTGGCATGTTTTTTTTTTTTTTTTGCACGGGTAGCTGCTACTTCAAATTTGGAGCGCAATAGATTCGATATTGAGTTTGTACTTATTATTATTTAAAGAATGACTAGTATTGGCCTGTTGTGTTTTCATTTTGCATGTTTGGACGTCTAATCTTATCTTATCTTATCTTATTTTATCTTATCTTATCTTACTATATATTATGGTTGTTCAAAAACAACTTCTTGCCACATAAGCACTTGGAGAATTCACAAGTTGCTAAGGTGGACAATTTTTGTACAAGCAAAAAAATTAGTTAATGAGCTATTTATGGAGTTATCTCTCTCTTCTTTTAATGATGTTTTCTTTTATTCAATAATTCTTTTTAGTTTCCATATTATATCTATGTTTGTAGAAAAAGACTAATGTTTGTAGAGTGATATATTACATTTAGTTAAACAAAAAATACTTGATCAAGTAAATTTTCTACTATTTTTTACTGAAAGTAAATAATAAGTTATATGTTATTGACAATTTTAAACAAACACACACATAAATAATAATATTTTTATCGATTAAACAAAATATAACGATGGAAATAGAGAAAATAACTGTTAGAAAATCAATCTACATTAAAAAATGAACTATGTTATTTTATATTTTTGGCTATTAAACACTCTCTTATTTAGAGATGACAACCAAACCCATGGTCGCAGGTACCCAACCGTCTCCGACCCAGTCAATACGGGAAATCTCCGCATTGATTGGGTATGGGGAAAACCCGCAATTTTTTTGATGGAGATGGGCGGATATGCTTTTGAAATCCCCATCCACATACCCAAACCCGCCCCACCGAGGATATTATGTTATATGCAGAAAATATAACATCCACTTATGTAATTGGTGGCAACCAAACCGTAATTTCATCCACTTATGTATCAGTTCCATAATTTTGGGCAGGTAGCACCCATATTTTTTACATACTTTTTATGGTGAGTAGCTAATGGGGCGGGTATTACCCATGGCCATGGGTATCCGAAAACCGCGGGTATGGAGATGAGTTTGTAAAACCTTCCACCGTATGGGTTAAGGGCGGGTATGAGTTTAGGTATTTGAAAATGGGGATGGTGATGGTTTAGGCAAATCCG